ATTCCAGGAGCTATCACACTTTTAAATGAAATACTGTAACCTGGATCTCAATATGGGCAAAAATTATTTAAGCTAGAATTGGCTTCAACGTGAAACTCTGTGTAAATAGCCTTAAGTGTGAGTTCTGGAACTAGTACCAAAACACTTCATGCCTTTAAAAAAAAAAAAGAAAAAAAAAGGCTGTGGCTTTTTGTCTATTTATTTGCATATGACAACTTATACCAAAGAAGAACAAAGTTTTAAATATTAAAGGTATTAAAAGTAATGAAGGCAAGGATGATCAAATATCTAGTATTTTGAACTACATGAAAGTCACACCCATAAAGTCATAATGTGAGCTCTCCTAGAGCAGGAAGAGAAACATGACTGATAGAGAAAAAAATACTGCAGAGAAGGGACATTAATTCCTTAGAGCAGGATTTGGCAAACTAAAGCCTGTGGACCATAGCTCACCACCTGTTTTTTATTTCTCTCTCTCAGAGAGAGCAAGAGAGTGACTGTGTGAGAGAGCATGGTGGGGGTGGTGAGAGAGGGAGAGGGAGACAATCCCAAGCAGACTCCACACTCTACTTGGAACCCAGTTCATGGTTCAGTCTCACAACCCTGAGATCATGACCTGAGCCAAAAATCAAGAGTCAGACACTTAACCAACTGAGCCACCCAGGCGGCCCTACCACCGTTTTTTTAAATAAAGTTTCATTAGAACACAACATTCACCCATTCATGTCTTGTCTATGGCTGCTTTCATGCCACAGTGGCAAGGTTGAGTTATTGCAACAGAGATCATTTGGCCTCTAAAATACGCTCTATCTGGTCATTCACAGAAAACTGTTGCCAAGCCCTACACACAAAATGGGCATCTTCCAAAGACAGAGAGATAAGATGTAACAGTCCTTGAAACTTAGGGTGTTGAAAAGCAAGTCACTAGCATCACCCTTATTTCCTATAGTAGGAGAGAAAGGTTGTGTGGAGGCATATAATCCTGATTTTTCCAGAAAATTCTGCTGTCCTACTCATAATATTTTGGGGTACTGGTAAAGGAGTACTTAACATTTTTTCTCATGAATATGATCTGTGTGTATAAACTTGATAGTTGAAAATGTATGTTTTACAAAAGCTTATTTAGAGAGATATAGATAAGTAGACATAAAGGTAGATGGCAGAGAAGGGAGACACAAGTACTATTTGGCATAAGCTAATGGCTGAGATAATAGCCAGAAAAATGGTGTGAAATATCAAGTTAGAAACAATAAAGAGGGCAAGCATCCGACAGAAGAACTAAGATGGCTGTGGAGATCTTGCAGGTAAGCAAGCCCCCATCTTGCTGGAGGCTGGGATCAAGAGTCCACATTTCTGATGACTCCATGTTTTGTTACACAAATCTGAGGGAAGAAACACTTTTTAGAAAAAAGGAATAGCTCATCTCCTGCCTTATCTATGGATTCCCCATAGCTCACTCTGGCCAGGCATTCATCTATCTGGGAATCCAGAAAACTCCCCAGACCTTCACACCACCAGGCAAGCTCAGAGCATTGTGAGCTATACCTTTACCCTCCCTCTTCATATCTCCTTTTTGTGTACACTGGGTGGAGTAAAAAGTAATAAATCCCCTTTGAAATACCTCAGGATTTCTTGTCGGTAAAATTGCCTTAGGGCACAACTGTCTGTTATGGAGAACAAGATAAGAAAACTTAATTAAGGTTTGGAAATTCAAAGCCAACATATAGTTTTCTGATTCTTTCCCAGCAACTACCATAAAACACATTGTTGTCTTATGATACCTTTTGTATTGTACTTGGCAGTTTCTAAAGCAGCTTCATATTATTCTAATCTATTTAGTGTTGCATTAATGAGCACACCATTCTCCTCCAACACCCGATCAAGATCTGTGACCTGCACTTTGCAGAGCAGGAAACAGAGGCTTCACACAGTTCAATGAGACCCCCAAGCCTGCACAATTCAGGACTAAATTAAGAAGTTATTTGACAGTGTTCTTTTGACTATGCCATGTGGCCTCCCAAAGAGACCAGAAGAACAAACTGCTATAAACTGATGGTATGGACTGAATTATGGTCCCCTCAAACTCATATGTTGAAACCCTAACCCCCAACATGACAGTATTCAGAGATTTTAGATACCAAAAGAGGTAATTAGGGTTAAATAAGGTCATATGTGTGGGGCCCTGAAATAATAGGACTAGTACTTTTATAAGAAGAAACCCCAAAGAGCTCATTGCCTCTCTCTCCACTATGTAAGGACACACCACCAAGAAGGCAGTGGTCTGTAGGCCAGGAAAAGAGTTTTCCCCAGGAACCACTGTCACTCAGCACCTTGATCTTGGACTTCCAGCCTCCAGAACTGTAAGATATAAATTTCTGTTGTTTAACAGTCTATCTTATTTTTGTTATAGCAACCTGAGTAGACTAAGATACACTACTAAAATAAAGATTCAGGTGAAGAAAATTCTGCAAAAAGAAGAAAAACCATAAAGTGTTTGCTTGCTACAATACAATCTATACTAGATAATAATTTAAATTCAAAATACTGGCAAAATAAAAAGTGACCAGTGGTGAAATTTCGTTTTTGAATTGCTTTGAAACCATCCACCCAAGACACATGACCCTGAAGACAAACAATGTTAAAATAGTTTGAAACCATCCATCCAAGACACACAACCCTCAAGACAGACAAAGTTAAAATAGTAGTCAATCAGTTAGGTATCTGCAAAGCAGAGACATTGTAGGGGTTTAGCAGTTGGAATACAAATGTTTAAGATGTCTAAAGGTTCTAAGCCAACTCTGGCGAACTGTACTTAAGGGGGAAAAAAGCAGCTCCAGACATCCTGGAGCTGGCCTGGCACCATCATCACTATTACCCTGGTGTTCTGTTCCGGGGTAAGCAATCTCGGAACAACAACATCAAACAAGGTCACTCTATGATCCTAATGAATCAAGACAAAAACAAAACAACTCCATGTTTGTGCCTGAATGTAGACAAAATACGAACATTGTCCAAACCCTACAACACCTAACATGAACAGTAGTTCTTCCCCAGCTAATACAAGCAACTGCCTTTGCTCTACCAATTACTAAAGATTATTGGGGTACAAAGTCATAGAATTGCCCCTGCTTCCTGACAGCATCCAACCCAGAGCAAAGCCCTGCCTCCACGCACCCTCCCCAAATCAGCCCAAGCTGATAGCGCAAGCCCAAATCCTTTCATTCTTTTCTGCCCCTGAGCCACTCGATGGTTCCCCGGTCTGTCCCAACGACAAGGAATACACCCTCCTCGGTCTCGTGGAACCATGGAACCACGTGTTCCACTCCCAGGGTTCCTTGCGGTCTTTGGCCGGAGGGGGCTGACCAAGGACAGCCGGGACAGCACGGCCCAGGCCTGCACCTCCGCTGTTTGGTTAGTCTCCAGAGAGTGCCTTGGTGAACAGAGCTTGGGACTCCAACATTTACAATCCCATGGCCGAGTTCCTTTCTGGTTTTCCTTCTGTTTTTAAAGTTATCAGGAGAGAGATCAAAAGAGTTAGTTCATCCCACTTTGATTTTTGAAGAGCTGTGAGGTTCCTCCGTACCAACAACAGCTCGCTCCCTCTGTACTGGGTGTATTTCCTCTCAGACATACGAAGCCAGTTAATAAATTAAGGCACGCCAAATGTGGTTTTTCTATTAATTTAAGACATTTCCCATTTTTTCTGTCCAGCCCTCTTCTGACTAACACAAACTTTCTTCCCTGCAGGGAGTTCCCCAAAATGGTATGTGCTGGGTTCACATGCATGCCGGGACAGCAGGAGAACATGTGACCTTGCTCTGGCCAATCAGAGTACTTCACTCTCCTTGCCACACTGATTGGTTCATAGAAGGCAGGTAATCCAGGCCTGGCCAATCCGGGACGGCTCTCTGTTACTATGGTAACATGGCTGCTTCCAGCCCAGCCTCACGTGCTAAACTGGTAGTGTGCACATCTGCAGCTGCAAGTGGTGAGCTCATTTGCCACGAAGACAGAGACAGACCTGACCTCATTTGAGCCCCCCAGATTCAGCAATACCTAAAGGCAGCAGCACTCCTCAGTTTCCCAGTTATTTAAGTCAATAAATTAATTTTTTATCCTAAATTAGTTTGAGTAGAATCTACTCCTTTGCAAACAAAAAAGAAATGTATACCCGCAAGTTTGCAAACCGACCCAAACCAATTTTTCTGTTCTGCACTACCAGGTTCTCTTATACATGGTGGCCTTCTGCCCTTGGGGGTGGGTATTGGCCGTGGTCCTCACTATCTCCAGTAAACTTGTTACTAGGTGGTACCTAACCATGAAAGCACGTAAGGACCAGATTCTGGTAAACCTACATTGATTAACAACTAGACACAGAAGGAATAAAAGAACCTGCTCTTGTATAACCAGGGAGGTCCACACCATCTTCTGACAAGTGTCGTACGTGGAAGTTTCAGTCCAAAGTGGACACAATAATATTAGGACGGCAGGAGCAGCTCCATTTTAGGCAGAACACTTTGTGAAGTGAGGAGGTCAGTACCAAACACCAACAGAGCTGTGGACTTCGTGTGCTGTTCCAAAGGTGCCAGGTGGCTGGGCTTCATGCGAGGGTCACGTTGGTTCCATCACTCATCTTCAACATCAGGCATTTTATTATTGAAAAATTATTATTATGCTAACTTATTATATAAATTATGCTAAATTGTAATGTAATTTATAATATCATTATGCTAACTTATGAATCCACCTCTAGACTATAAACTCCTGTCTGGTGTCATTACAAAACTAACCATTTCTAAAGCATGGGTTTCTGAAAAGGGGACTTTAAATGCTGTCTAACCAACTCTAGGACATAGAATAAAATGAATTTAACGTTTGAATACATCCCATTGTCTACAAAGAGAATGAAACACACACCAAACCTTAATCTTACCGAAAAACAAATAAATCCAACATCTTGCATAAAAAATTTTTCACCTGTTCTGAGCCCTTCAACATACCACAAAAATAGGATCGTTGGCAGCAGAATGTGGCAAAGCGCTTGTCCCATTCAAGAAGGAATGAACCAAGTTATGTAGGCTCATCACATGAGAGTCCAAGATGCCGTTTGCTTTATCAAACCCTTCCAGAGCATTCCTGAGAGAAAATCAATATGTCAGTGACAACAGTTACAATTGATAAAGATCTCTTTTTATTGTTTCCAGCCTAAATAACAGTTTTCTGACTTGAGGTGGGATAGGGACATGGAAAGCACTGTCATAGCTAATTAATTACAAATTAGTCCCAACTTTCAATGCTCTTCTATAGAGGGAGGGAACTCTTAATCATTGCTACTTCTGCACCTGCTCAGTTGGACTGTACCTCTTTTAGACACTGTGTGACATTCTTTACCTTCATATCTCTCTCCCATGCCAGATTCTGAAATCCTAGAGGACACAGACTGTGTTTTCTCCAGATTCTTATTGCCAGAGCTTAGTGCCATGCCCATCAGAAATATATTTTGAATTAACACATACTCTCATATTCCCATTTCTCAACTAAATAGACCTCAGCTTGACTATAATATATTCAGCATTCTAAATGTACCCCCAGATTCCTCTTATCCTTATCTTTTTCTCCTCCCTATTTTCCGGAAATTCAAACTGTCCTTCTCCTAACTCAGTGATCCTCAAATTTAAGCATTCATGGGAATCACAGGAGAAATCACATGGGAATCATGCCCTACTTTCAGAGTTTCTGATTCAGAAGGTGTGGGCCGGGTCTTCACAATTTATGTTTTTAAGCAGCTCCCAAGTGGTACCAATTATGGTGATCTGGGCCCCCTATTTCCATAACCACTCCCTTAACTCAAATCAATAAAGACTTCAGTCCATTTTAGGATTGCCTGGGTGGCTCAGTCAGTTAAGCATCTACCTTTGACTCAGGTCATGATCCCGGGGTCCTGGGATCAAGCCCTGTGTCGGGCTCCCTGCTCCCTCTCCTCGTTGCTTGTACTCTTCCTCACTATCTTGGTCTCTCTTAAATAAATGATAAATAAAATCTTTAAAAAAAAGAAGAAGAAGATTGTGTTCCATTTCAATAGCATTTTTACTACCATGAAGAGCAAATGTATGTTCCTTTTCAAACAATCTTAAATGTCAGCCTTTATATGATCCTTGACACTACTCTGAGAGCTGTGTCCAACCCCCACACAGATTTTGAATTCTGCTGCACTTGGCACAGCTCTGCATTTATCAGTTTACCCCCCAACTCCGCCCCAAATAACCCACCAGCTATATGATTTACACACAGGATAGAGAGAATCTGGTTTGAGGGAAGACCATGAATCTATCCATCGTGTCTTTTGGGAGCCCCATTCATCTTCGCTTAAAAATCTTATTTACATCCGTACTTATTTCCCACAATTCTGAAAGTTTTTTTAGAGGGAGAGATTTATTCATTGGCCTTTCCATTTCAAGTATTGTGATGTCATTGCTGTGTTGTAGCTTGAGCTGCATTTGGTCTACAATACTTCTCTGGGATCTCAGACTTTGATATTAAGGTCTATGGCTGATACATTTAAGAGAAAAGAAAAAGAAAGAACATGAGCAAATATTTGTTTAAATACTATATTTAATGAAGTACCTGATTCTGAACACTGTACCTATATAGGTCATAGTTAGAAATACCAAAGATGGTTTTGAATAGCTAATTAGAAAATATTAAAATGACACTATTCATTATAGTGGGTAGTTGATGACTTTCCTAACACTGGTTCTTGTTATCCTCACTTGTCAAGCCCTTCTGCATTACTTAGCCTTATACGTGACTCCCAACATCCAGATTTCCTTCTAGTTCATTACAACCACAGGCATGAAAATCTTAAAGTATTTTAAAATGCCATCTAACAGAGTTCAGAGCACCAACCTGAAGCTGAAGGTCGAGTTCTGGAAGAAAGGGGGGCTGTCAAACTTCTTGAGAGAGAGACAGTCTTGTATGTCTTTTAAAGTTGGCAGTTTTGCACTGTTCAGTCCCACTTGATTTCTTCTTAACAGACCTTCGTAGGTCCCATTACAGAGGGTGACCCGGCGGTTATAGTCATCCAGGCTAAGGGTTGTACGGAGAGTGAAAATGGAATGTTTTAATTTGTGAATAGTGTCGTAACTTAGGGCCAAACCAACCAATCAAAATCTCAGTCATGATAAAAATTTTATTACAGTGATCCATCCCACCATGTTGGAGAGCACTATCCAGAAGGCTGTAGGAAAAGCTCAGTGTGTAGAAGAGGGGATCCCTGCTAGATTGGCCTACACCCCCGGAAACACATGAACACCCAGATGAGAGGTGTGTTCAAGGAAGCTTGACAAAGACACAGGGCAGGGGAGCTAGAGCCAGTATGATTGGGAAGAAACAGATAAATAAAGGAACACAGGGGGCACTGGGGTGGCTCAGTAGGTTGAGCATCTGTCTTTGGCTCAAGCCATGATCCCAGGATCCTGGGATGGAGCCCTGCCTCAGCCTCCCTGCTCAGCTGGGAGCCTTCTTCTCCCTCTCCCTTTGCCCTTTCCCTGCTTCATGCTCTCTCTCTCTCTCTCACTCTCTCAACTAAATAAATAAAACCTTTAAAAATAAATAGATAGATAATAAAGGAAAGCATCAGGGACCTTTCTTTGAGATATGTGCCAAAAAAAGGAAAAAAAAAAAGGAAGAAATTTAAGGAGTCACTGAGGACAGGATTTTCCACGGGTTGCAAGGCTGGTCATTTGCTTATATGTTTTTCAGTACTTCTCTGCTTGGGGTGTATACCTCTGCCTCTTAGAGACTTCTCTTGACTCTCTTCTTGGCTTCGCACTTAGACCTGTCATGATTCTTTTCGCACTGTATTGGAATTTGTTTACAAGCAATCTGCCTTTGTAAATATAAAACGATATCCAAAAGGGAAGTTCTATTTTATTCATTCTTGTATTATCAGTACTATTACACTGCCTGGAAAACAATCAGTACGTAAGAAAGGTTTGGCCGAATGCAGAAACTATTTCTAGCTTTAAAACAGTTGATCTAGAAATGATAACCAAACCCATTCGACTCACCAGTGTGATTTCCAGGCTTCTGGGTTTTTTTGTTGTTGGTGGTGGTTGTTTGTTTTGTTTTGTTTTGTTTTTTAATAAAAGGGCTTGGAATTTTTTTTAAATCCCACTTCCCTCAGGAAAATCATTTTCAGAAACATGTAAAAAGAACCCAGGATGCACTGGAAACAGATATGCACAGCCTTTCTCCATCTCTCAGACGTAGGATAATATGGCCTCTGGATTTTCATTGCAGGTAAAGGTGTACCATTACCTATCACAGACAATTTCCCAGTTGGAGAATCTTGAGTTCTGACTAATTAGAGTTGGATCATCTTGTCTTGCTGCCCCAAGCAGTTGGTCCGTACATACATCACAGTCATTCCTCCCGGTGGCAAAGTTCCAGTAGGGCAAAGCAAAGGACTCATTGCCGATAAGTTGCTAAAAGCAAAGGGCATGCCTAGTTACTTAAGTCATGACATCAAATACAATAAGAAAGCATATAAAACAAAGACTGATATGGGTCTTGACCAAACACAAAACTAAAAATACCAAATTCAGAGTTTTGACCAACCTGGAGATCCCTTTCCAGCCACAGCAAATGGTACCGGTGCCAGGTAACAAATGCAGGTCCTTGATGTGAGAAGTCTATGGCCTTGTATGGGCGCCCTGGTCCTAAAGCAATTGGGAAACATATTAAAGATCATGGAATAATATTTTTTAAATGTGAAATCTTACCCCAGTGGGATGTGTCTGTGGAACCAGTAAATCCATGCTGTTCTAACCGGAAAAAAAAATTGTTTTTGTCATTTATCGCTCTGAAAACAACAGCGACAACAAAACAATTTCAGAAGCAACTAGCACTTCTAGGGTAAATTCTCCATCTTTCGAAAGTTTGATTGTCCTCAGAGGTCCAGATACCTCTAGGTCACTTTCAGCCTTGAGAATCCCTGTCAAATGGTTGATTTTAAAGTAACATTTCATTAAGATGAGATAAGAGTATCCAAAGGATTAGATCATTAAGAGCTCAATGAAATATGTTTTCAAAAAACATTTTCTAACCTACTCCTTCCAGATGCACACATTTATAAGGGAGGGATTAATTAATAATAAGGCTCTTAGTCCTCATTCAGGCATTTTTGTCACTGAAAAGAACTTCGATGGATTTTGCCTCCGCCATCAATCAGTTACAATCACCAGCTGACAAGCATGGTCGCCAAGACTAGAACAGAGAAAAATACACTCAGACCAATTTTGCTGGCCACTGGAACCACCAATTTTAGTGAAAAGCTTTGGGCAATTTAATGACCCCCTTCCTGCCCGTTCCATCCTTCTTCTGCTTTCATAAAAGCTTTCGATGGTTATGTAGAAACTTTAGCTTACTTTAGTTCTTTTTCAAAGTACCTATAATAACTTCAGACAGCTGAACAGACACGAATATAAATTTAATTCCTAGGTATGACCAGAAACTATAGTCTTCCTTCCCTCCTGAGAGACAACCCTCTCATAAAGCAAAAATTCCTCTGAGTGATGACAGGAAAACTACAAAGGTTTACAGCCTGAAAAGCCTCCTTATCTGTCGAAAAAGAAAGACAGATGCTTACCTGAGAGGCAAGGTTTTTAAGGACTCGCACTGAGGAAAGACATGCTATCACTTGCTGGTGGCTACGTAGTCCTTTTTAATTCAGAACAAAGATTAATGTTCCCCAAATGAACTAATGAGGCAAAATCAAACAATGGGGAGCCAGTGATAAACACAAGAACAGACAATTCCAATGAGAATCTGACTATTCAAAGGGAGCTTGATGTCTTCATACACCCTGACTCCAACAAGGGGCCCCAAAGGTGGGGATAAAAGGTATAGCCAAAGAAAGCTTCAGGATTCCAGAGAATACGACCAGGAATGGATTTCCATCCCTCTGGAGTGAGCTGACGTCTGTGTGATCCCTGACTGAGACATATCCGAGGGCATAGCTGGTCCTACAAGATTAATGAAGTTCTTAATAAACAAGGCCCCATTCCAAGTCTTACACAGGCCCTGACTGGGGGACCTAGAAGGGCAGGGCGCCATTTTCTCAGGCATCCACTGCAATAGTTCAAAAGGCTAATTCAGGAGGAATTCTACATTGCCAGAGCAGCTAATGCTCTTCCATGACAATACAATTCCGAAAAGACCCAAGGATCCCAACAGCGAGACACCATTTACGCGCCCCATGAATGATGACGCAAAAGTCTAAAGACTAACACATGCATGTTTAATGAGATACGCACTTTCCACACAAACCCTCTAATTCTGCACAAAGAAGCTTCATGTGCTTTAGCACATGTTCTGTTAATTCCTCTAATTTGAGGGAAAATGTCAGAGAGGGCTTCCATGGCCAGATTTAGACATGTTTTCTTCTGGAATCAAAAGGAATTTGCCTCCGCTTCACCAGCCTTTGCCTTTGAAGATTAATAGCTTCACAGAGGAGAGTTTAGACTTTGAACCCATCATACCAACTCCAGGGGAAAACATTTTCCCAAATGTCAGCCAACGTACTGGTAGAATGTTCTCCCTCCTTGCTTCAGGCAGCATTGGATAATCGTCTGATTTTCGTAAGCCTAACCCTTCTTGGGGTTGTTCTCTTGTTAATTAACTTGCCCGAAATTACTTCCCCACCCATCCCCCCACAGCCCCAAACTATAATAATATACCCTCAGCTGAGGGAAATAACCCACCTAATAGCGTATCTCTAACAGAGTAATAATGGAGCCACACGAAGAAATCGTATATGCTGCAGTTGGCGATCTGCGGCTGGGTCCCGTTGGGCCCCAGCAGGCCGAGCCAGTGCTGGGTGGTGATCACGTAGTCAGGGTGCGTCGTGTTCTTTGCGAGGTCTAACGCATCCAAGAACTGCTCCCTCTCCTGAGCCGTCAAGGAATGAAGATTTTTCCGAATAACCGGGGCTTTCCTCTGACTGCAGTCATGGCCGGTCCAGCCAAACTTGCAGCCCCCACAGTTGTAGCCAGCAAAATGTCCTAGTTTATTTTTAAAAGAAAAAAAAAAGTGGGGGGGATGGAAGAGAGAGTCAGTTTATGTAGCTTGGAAGAAATTTCTGAATTTGAAGTCTGGGCTAGAAAGGAGGAGAGGAGGGAGGTGTTTGCAGGAAGGTGAAGGAAGCCATTTTCCTACACTTCCTCTCCTCTTGAAATCTCCAAGGATGGGAGTACTACAGTTCCTTAGAAATATTGCCAGCAAGAAAACAATATGAAAGGAGTCACAAGCTGTCATGGGTGGACCGTGTCCCTTCAAAATTTGCAGGTTGAAGTTCTAACCCCCAGTCAGATTCGATATGACTATATTTGGAGCGAAGGTCTTCAAAGAGGAAATGAGGTTAAAAATGAGGTCATTAAGTGACCCCCAATCCTGTCCAATGGGTGTCCTTCCAAGAAGAGGCAGTTTGGACACTAGTAGTTACGGAGGGAAGACTATGTGAAGACCAAGGAGAAGACAGCAGCCAACGAAGCAGGAGAGAGGCCTCAGGAGAATCCCACCTCGCTGACAGCTCGACCTGGGCCTTTAGGTCTTCAGAACTGGGGAGAATGAGTTTCTGTTTCCTCCCCACACCCCGACCTCTGGGCTGCCCAGCAATCTGGGATGGCGATGCTGCTGAGCCCTGCTCTCTCTGGCCCACACAAAGGGCCCACACAGAGTGAGTGGCTCATTGACTTAGAAGAGGAAGAGTACATTTGCCAAGCTCAAGGTGGAACCAAAATAAATGGGCTGATTTCCAGGGATTGAGGGGAAATCTGACATACAAAAGCTGGTTTATTTCACAAAGGAGAGAGAGTTAAGACAAAAATCGATGGAGGCTGGCAGGTCATAAAGGTGAATTAGCTGCCACAGTCTCAGGAAGTGCAAATCACTGCAGGGCTCCCCCGTCCACAGCCCAAATGTCCCTGCCTTCTCAGCCCAGGGAAGGAGAACTAGCCCTATGAACTAATAAGCTCCTTCCTGATTAACATCTAAAGTGGGAATTATTTTAGCTTGTCCTGGACTTTTCCCTTTTTAGCCTTGATTACTGCTTTTGGTATGACCAGCCCCTCATTCCCTAGGTGGTGATAAGTTAGAGAGTAAACATTTAAATATTTTTAGAGCAAAATGTTGAAGCGAACAGGGTCGGTAATACTCATCTCCCAGGGGATTAGAGGGGTTACTTAAAGCATTAAAATGGGAAACCAACTCTGCTTTCCTCCTCCCTCTCCCTCTTCTCCCCTCCTGCTCCTCCCTTCCTTTCCTACCCACCCCTCCTGCTTCTCTCCCCTCCTCCCCCTCCCTCTCCTCCCAGATCCTTTTACTAGCTCTCACTTCAGTCCACAGCACTTTTCCCTCATCATCTCCTTAAATTCCTCTTTGCCTGGGTTACCACTCCTGCTCGCAGCCTCACGATGGGTGGTCTACAAGGCCATCCTTGACTCTACATGTCAGGGTCAGATGTTCCTGCCCTGAGCTCCCCCCACCCTGGTACCTTACACAACCCCTCCACTGGATTCATCACACCAGCAGTAATTATCTACTTGTCTCAGGTACGGGCATCCGGAAGGCATTTATCCCACTGTCTAGGCTGGTGCTTGGCCTGGTACAAAATGAATATCTGTTGACTGACTAAAAGAAACATAAAGCCAAGTCACCACGATATGCACTTTAAAAATTATACATTCTTATTCATAGTTGTACCTCAATAGATCTGAAATTTTTTTGAAAAATTAACTAAAAACAAAAACATATAAAGCATGTGACAGATAATCCAATAGACATAAAAATTCTTCTTCCTCTTTCTCCCTATCCTTGTGGATTAGGAGGAAAACTGGTCCTGTAAATAATTTTGATAAATGGTAAATACCAAAGCAGAGGTAAGGAAAAAATACTATGACCACAGGAGAGAGAGGATTATTTGAATTTCTACAAAGAAAATATTACAATAACATGAAACAAAATGACTAGCATTTGTATCATGTAAAGAAAAATGCCCAGGCCTCCTTTTCTATTAAACCAGTGGATTTGGGGATCGTTAAAGAAAATGTCATTAAAAATATCATGAGTAAGAATTTTATTAAGGTAATTTATTTGGGTTCTATGCTCCTCGAAAGACTCAAAATATCCTACCTGTCCTCACATAACTCAGTTAGCTGTAGTCTTCTATGTTTTAACATCATATGAGAATGTAATAAAAAACACTTAAAAGGAAAAAATTCTACTAGTCCCAAGGCTGAAACATGTTTTGGAACAGTTTCAGTTAAACATTTAAATCTACATTGATTATTAGAGGGAAGCTACTAAATAAAAATTATTTATAAATATTTATTGAGCAACCGAGTACCCAAATACCAGTATCCAAGTAACCAATACCAAGTACCCAAATGTCCACCATTTCCCTAGAGCCAGATGACTGAAGGGGAATACAGAGCCACAGCTTTACAATAAGAGAGTGAGGGTCTCCTTCCAAATGCTAAGAAATTGCACACCCCAGTTTTAAAATGATCGATTCAATACATTTCCACATGTAAATGCATAAAACTTGTCTCCGGATTTTGTCGAAGTTGAGTAATTTGTAACTTATGTCATGAGTTTGAATATTCCTTCACTTCCTTTACCATAATTATTTTTGGTTGCTAGAAACAAAATGATCAATAGCTAATTATCTCCCTCCTTTGTTTATTCAACAGATAATTTATCAGCACCCACAGCCTAAAGGGCCGTCAAAGCTCCGCGTGCCTCTCTCTGTGCTCCCACTTGTTTTGTTCGGAGAAGTTTCCATGCTTGTAGGTTTGGATTTCACTTTTTCAAGCCTGTCAGATTGGGATCAGAGTTTTGCCTCACAGAGTCAACGCGGAAAACAAACAGGTTAACATATTAAGTGCTTAGAACAGTGTCTGGTACATAATAAATTCTATATTGAGTGTTGTTATTATTACCAGATACCACTTAGAGGCAGGATTTTATTTTTTTTAAAAGATTTTATTTATTTATTTGACAGAGAGAGAGATCACAAGTAGGCAGGGAGGCAGGCAGAGAGTGAGGGGAAGTAGGCTCCCTGCTGAGCAGAGAGCCCCATGCGGGACTCAATCCCAGGACCCTGAGATCATGACCTGAGCCGAAGGAAGAGGCTTAACCCACTGAACCACCCAGGTGCCCCGAAGCAGGATTTTAAATATTTGTTTTCATCTGTCTTCCTCGTCTGCTATACTGTGGACACCTTAAAAACCATGTCGGGTTTTTTCCCCTCTTTGTACCTGAAGGGCTAGCATCACGAGGGCTAAATAAATGTCAATCAGGTAGGTGAGAAATGAAGCAATGAATAATGGAATAAAAGGCTTCAGGTATGAGAAGATATACGTAGATATAAGGCATCATGGCTTCATCCAGGAGATGACAGACTTGTGTGCCATGAACCACCAGTGCAATTCTAACTCTGGGGACAAGTGAAAACAGAGGAATAAACCAAGCACCACAGAAGACAAAAGGCAAAACAATTAATTCTGATTCAGAAGACCAGAGCTGCCTCACAATTATGTTAACCAAAGATGTTTCATTTTACAAAACGATACTTGCCCTCAAAAAAGCAACATGGAAGGGCTAAGAAGAAAGAATTGGGATGGGGAAGGAGGCAAAACGGGGGAAGGGGATTAAGAAGTACAAACTTCAGGTTACAAAATAAGTCATGGGGATGTAATGGACAGTATAAGGGATATGGCCAACACTATTAGGTAGGAACTTTTACTATGCAGTGTATACAAATGTCAGGTCACTGACTTGTACATCTGAAACTAAGATAATACCTAAGTTTATATCTTATATATTTATTTCTTTATATGTTTATATTTGTTTATATCTTATATCTTAGTTTATATCTTATATCTTATATATCAGTTATAGCTCAAAAAATTAAAAAAATATTGTCTGCCTGTGAGCTCGCCTATGACCCTGAAATGTACAAAAAAAAAAAAAAACAAAAAAAACTTTTCCAGCATCTCTCCAAAAACTCTGCATTCGAGCCCCTGTTACATTTGGAGCTTCTAAACATGGTCCAAAGTATTCAAGAAAATGCTGCAGATAACAGAAAAGTGCAACAACATGGAAGCCCAGCACACAAAACGCTTATTTCTCTAATTTAGATTCCCTAGTGGTTCCCTACATCAACTTGACCTGAGTCCATTTATTCCCTCAACCTACCAATAGCAGCACCAAAAAATACAAGATGGCCTCTTAGCAGAGATGGCATTTTCTTACTGGAAAATGGGGAGAGAAAGAAAACTAAAGGATCTGGAGATACCAATCTATCTACCATTGAGTATGTCCTTGGGCAAAAATTAAATTTAAAAAGACAAATTCGTAAACCCACTTAGGACTGGGCTAGGGTTAGAAAAGAGAGTGAGAACCGCCAAGCCGTACACGTTCCTACATGAACTGTAACACCTCAACCTCAGAAGGCTATTAGACTAAAGAAGCTTAAGGACCACTGATTAGTGAATTTACAAGGAGCTCTAAATAGCGTATTCCTTTTAATTAGAGATTCTATTATTTTAATAACAATACTTTATACTCACAGGGAGCCTTTCATCTACAGAGCTCAAAAAGATTTTACAAGTGCGGTTTCATCATTATCCCCATTTCAGAGATTGGAAAAACGGAGGCACTTAGTCACTTGTACAAACAAGAAGCTCTCCAACAACTGTTCAAAAACTATTTGCTGTGCATGTTTTCCTAAAGTCCAAAAACACAGCTGCAACTGGTATGTTCTCAGAAACGCCAGCTGGCAAGGGAGACCGTAGAAGGCAAAGAGCTAATGCCAAGGTCTCCTGAAATTCAGGTCCTCCTGACAATCAAGGTCAGTGGGTTTTGGGTTCCAATTTATCCCTACAGAGAACAGAGAAGTTCTCTCTAGAGGATTTGAGCCCATCATTTGTGTGTGTGTTGGCGGGGAGTTCCCCTCCAGATTTTGTTATTTCTCTTTGTTAGACTAATGTCTTTTACCAGCTTCAAGTTCGTGAAGACTATGGAGTATTTTATTTTATTGTGGTATGAACATTTATCATGAGATCTATCGTGTTCATGCGTTTTTAAATGTACAATACATCATTGTTGACTCTAGGTGCCACGTTGAACATTAACTCTCTTGAGCTTGTTCATCTTGCCTAACTGAAACTTTCTGTGCACTGATTACTAACTCTCTCTGTCTCACTCCCTGGGCCCAGGTAACTAGCATTCCACTCTTTGATTCAATGAATTTGATTTTAGATACCTCATATAAGTAGAACCATGCCCTATTTGTCTTTTTGTGACTGACTCATTTCCTCACTGTAAGGCCCCTCAGATTCATGCATGTTGTCACCCACTACATGACTGCCTTCTTTTCTTTAAGGCCGAGTAGTATTCAGTTGGATGTATATACCACTTGGCTACAATGTGGAGAAATTGGAATCCTTGTACACTGTTGGTGGAAAAGCAAAATGGCCCAGCCACTATGGAAAAACACAGTATGGAGCTTTCTCAAAAATTAAAAATAGAACTACCATATGATCTAGCAATTCCACTTCTGGATATTTGTCAAAAAAAAAATGAAATCAGGATCTCATAGAGATGTTAGCCCTCCCGTGTTTTTGGCAACACAATTCCCAAGAGCCAAGATGTGGAAACAATCTTAATGTCCATTGATGGATAAATGTCTGTTTATTCTTCCATTGCATTAACAAAGCTCAGGGTTATCATTACATCTCTTCCTTAATAAATTTTGGTGACCTAGAAAAATCCCAGGAGCCCTATTTGCAAAAAAAAAATTATGAGGATAACATAGAGGAGAGCTTTGGGGTTTAAGTTTTGGGATCAGGTTTAAATTCTGAAAACTGCTTCCCAAACCAGGAAATGCTACTCTTGGAAGGCAAGCAACTCACTCTTTGGGGGAGAATAAGCTGATGAACATCGTATGTCTTGCCTTGGGACACACGACACATCACAGAATGGTGATTACTGTTTATAATAAATTGGTTTCCAGCTCAGCCACTATGACTTGGTCTGATGCCCTGAGACTCAAAGAATAAGACCATTGAGCCAATATAAGTGGAGCCAACCAGAGTTGGTATGGAAAGAGCTATGATTCTGAATGAGTCTACACAGACCAAATCATAGAGGACGGGAGGAGAGCCATAGGCTGGTAGTTGGTCTCAGGAGCAGCCATGGACTTGATAATGGCTGGCAATGGAGACCATAGGCACCGAGAAAGCTCTGCCTCCTTGGACTGGCCTATAGACATGTGAAGTCCTTAACAGTCTGGACATACAGGTCAAACTCTCTTTCTGACCCACTTCGCCCTAGGTATGTGTTTATCCTCCTCTGAGCAGGGGGGATCCCTTTTCATGTTAGGAAGTAGGTCACTGTGACTCCAACTTCCTATAACTTCTGGAGAAATATTATAGGCGCCTTCTGGGAAGGGAGATTATAATTATCCCTTCTATTTGGCCATTCTCTATTCTCTCCATCCTCACCTTTAAAAAACAAAAGGAAAAAAACAAACAAACAAACAAACAAACTTGCTAACCAGGTCAAAATATAAAGTAGATGATGATAAGAAGAGCTAAGAGTTATGTCTGATTTGTTAATATTGTCTGCCTCAGGACTCCATAAATGGAGAGGCCCAACCATTGTAAGTGGTAGCACTCTATCATTGATTTGGCCTGGAAGTAAGTGTTCTAGAAGAATTTTTGAGTCATAGACAAATAAGTTACTGTGTAGTGTGGTTTCAGTCACATAGGTAATATGAAAACTGCTGCTTCTCAGACAAAAGCCAGGAGAATCCAAGAAATAATGTCTGTAGAAGACAATGCTCAATTAGCTCAGAAAAATATGGATAGTATATGTTCAGTATGCTATTGTCACAATGATTACCCAATGCAAAACTAACAGTTCCTTCGAATCACAGAATTAACATGACTGCAAAATGATTATATAGCCAGAATTTTCTGCATGTTAAAAGTAACTAACACCATCCCTACATCAACATGCAGTCCTTTGTACATTTCCTAAGTTCACCTTTTTATATCCGTACATAGCCTCATTATCTGTATTCTCTATGTGCCGGCATCCTATAAGAACGTGAGCAAATAATAATAATAATTTTTTTAAGATTTTATTTATTTATTTATTTGACAGAGAGTGAGACAGTGAGAGAGGGAACACACGCAGTGGGGGTGGGAGAGGGAGAAGCAGGCCTCCCGCCGACTGGGGATCCCGATGTGGGACTCAATCCCAGGACCGTGGGATCATGACCTGAGCCAAAGGCAGATGCTTAACAACTGAGCCACCCAGGCGCCCCTAATAATAATAATTTAAAAAAGAACACTTGGCATGCAGCCGGCTGCTGTATGTAGAAGAGAGGCCAACGGCTTTGCTAAAGTTGCCACGAGCGTTTTCTGTGCGTCAAATGCCCTGCCAGGATTTGAGGGTTTACGGCCCCTGTGCGTGGCGGCTGAACCCAGGCAGGCCCTACTGAAGACGACTTGAGAAGGCTCAGAAGAGCTCAAGGCATAAAAAGGGAGCAGGGATGTCAAAGAAACGAGTAATAAGAGAGCCCAAGATCTGAAAGAGGGACAAGGAGCCAACATCCAAATGACCACATGCAACCCAGGCAAGAGCAGAAAAAGCCATTGTTTTGCCAGGACCCTCCCTCCACAGTTCCCAGATGCCCTGTCCCACCCCAGCCCTCCGACTGCGGCAAAGTGACAACCCAGGCATATCGTGAACTAGCAAGAGGTACTCTGCCCAAGACCTGTTCCAAACACAAGAAACTCTGAGGCTAGGACAGCAGAACCCCTGCCTTGGACGCCTGTCTTGGAGACGCCAAGGCTCCCTGCACCACCCATCCCCCTTCTACAAGTGCAAACCCATTTCAGAAGGGGAGGCCACGGAATCATCTTGAAAGGACTTGCTCTGAAGCTCGTTAGCTTCCCCCTTCCAACAAACAAGCCAATGGCATGTTGGCATGAGTTCACATAACCGGGCTTGGCCCACGTAATACTCATCTGGTGGACTAGAGGGTGCGAAATGTAGAACCAAGTCATCAGCCCGACTCAGTTTGCTTCCTGTGAAAACCAAACTTGGCTGGCCACGGAAAGCCTCATCTGATAGTCTGAAGAGTTTCCTCTCGTCCTGAGAAGTGGCTCCTTTCCCAACAGGGGCCTCCCCACCTAGCTCAGGGCAGGGCCGGGTCTGCCCGCCTCCCTCACCTGTGCACCGGCAGGTCCGGTGGAAGAACTTCCTCGGCCAGCCTTCTCGGTCGTCCTGGTTGCGTAGGACGTAAGGACCACTCCAGGGCCTGGTGTCAGCTTGCACCTCCATGCACTGGCCCCGGCCCTCCTGGGAGCCACAGATGTTGTCGGGCTCGGGACCCAGCGACGGGCAGCACTCCTTGCTCATCAGGCTGTCCACGGTCATGCAGACCCGGGGGAACTGCGCGCGGGCTCCAGGCAGGAGTGCGCAGCCCAGGCAACTGAGCACGATCCCCCAGCCCAGAGGGCTCATGGCTTTGTCAGCAGAACTCCTCTCCCTTTCCACTCCCCGATTCCGCCCTGCTTTTCTCCTCCTCTTCCAGTCCTGAGCTCTTGAACACTCGTTCAGTGGATTTTTGGTTTGGGGGGTGGGGGAGTTGATATTGTTTGGTTTTGCGTTCTATTCCTCTCCCCTTAAAAAAAAAAAAAAAAACCTGCAAAAAATTTGGTGAACCCACGTGAGTGCACGTGTGTACTCGCACACGCATGGGCTGTTTTATGTGATTCAAACAACTAAAACAAATTTAATGCCATTCCAAGCGCCTCTCACAGCCAGATTTAACGAGGGTAGCGCTTCTCACCATCTTTCCCCAGTTAAATCAGGCTTTGCCTAATTGCGATAATTTACGGGGTACTGCAGTCATACTCCTTATTATACTGGTATTTCTAAACCCCTCCTTTCCTCCTTAGCCCGTAACTTTAATTGCCTTGAACTCAGTTCAAAAGCCAAACACCGTGCTGCCTTTATTCTGTCTGGCTTGCCAAACCACGGGACCTTGTGGGGTTTGTGTAAGGGCTGGGAGAAGCCATCATTAGGGGGATTAGTGTTAGAGAAACCCTCATTGTTAGCACATGACCCAAAGGGCATAATGAAGTACATACAGTTGCTGGCTTTGTTTCAAAAGGGCAAAACCATCTTCATTATCTGGGCTCATGTGCCCCAGCCAAGCTTGTGACCTCAGACTTCCCAGGGAGTCAATGGATGCAGTGAGCTCCTCGTTGTTGCTAAAAGGCCTTTACAGACAAGCATGCATTGCTAACCACAATTCACTCCTGACTGCTCCCTGACGTGCTAGAAAGACCACTGCAGGAGGTCACACAACTTCAGAAATAAAGAAACATTTATTTAGGGCTGACGTACAAGGAATTGCTTTGTTCCACAATTAAGGACCCTCTTCCCTCCAAACGAGAATGCACTATTCTCCTACTCAGCTCATCTAGGCGGTAGTTGGTTTTTTTTTAATTACCCAGGGTAGCCTGTCACCAGAAATTCAAAATTATAATTGTCTGATTGTAAGGAAGGCAGTGGGACCATGGGGAGCAAGGCCTTGCAAGTGACATCTTTTGATTCATGTTAAAGTTAAATGTTGTCAGGCTTCCGTCTAGAACACAATGCCTCCTCTCCCCTCTCCCCACCCCGGTGCTTCTGGGGGCAGTGAGGGGAGCGTCCTGATCGGTAGTGATGGCTGCTGTTAGAGCATCTCTTTACCCCTTCGTGGTGGAAACAGGCCTGACTTTGTGCCATCAGTGTCTGTGTAGACAGCCGACGTGCTCCGGCGGCGCCAGACAGTTTCCAAGAATATATTTGGGCGTAAAGACAGAATGTTCCAAAGAAAATTCGTAAGGTTAAAGAAACGTTCGTATAGATGTTCCTCCCTGGTGCGCATCTGTGTCATCCCCATGGCATTTATCTGTTGTGACTCATTAAATGGCAGTTCTCATCTCTGACTGTGCTCTGATGCCAGCTGAGACCCAAGCCCAGAGAAGCAAAATCTCTATTTGTTGTAAGTTCTCGAAGCCGTGTTAATGTGCAGCCACTGCTGAGAACCATAGGGTTAAAATAAAGCAGGGTTCCAAAGGAAATGTTGGAATAGAGTCAGCTGAAAGATGGATGTATGTTCTTTTCCTGAATCACCATAAGCTGAATGCCTTAAAATAACAGAAATTCTTTTCTCTCATAATTCCGAAGGCCAAAGTGCCAAATCAGTGTGCTGATAGGGGTGCACTCCCTCTGAAGGCTCTGGGGAAGATACCTTCTTGCCTCTTCCAGTTCCCGGTGGCTGCCACCATTGCCTGGGTTGAAGCAGAATCGTTCCCATCTCTGCCATAGGGACATGACCTCTCCTCCTATGTCTCTGTCTCTCCTCTGTGTGTCTCCTATAAGAACACTGGTCATTGGATGCAGAGCCCCCCTGGATAGTCCAGAACGTCCTCATCTTGACATTCTTAAGTTAATTACATCTGTAAAGACCCTCTTATCAAACAAGATCACGTTCACAGGTTCTAGATATGGACATGACTTCTTGGAGACCATTATTCACCTCCCACCCCATGTTGTGGGTGTAAAACTGGAATGATAGCAGAATTGCAATAGCTCAGAGTTGGAAGGGAATTTTAGAGCCCATTCATTCAATCCCTGTGTACCTACTGATCCAGTTATGCCAACATTGTGCTGCTTTGGGATTCCATTCTATGTGTTGTGATGTCCTAGTTCCATAAGTATTAGATTCAAAGTTCTCGGATAATGTCACTGACAGAGTCAACGACTCTCATGTCATAATAGCCCCAGGCCTAGGTCCTAGGATTACTTTTCTTTCCTAACAATGCTTTCATAATAACTCACCAAGCCTGTGGCTTTAATTGCAGGCTATCGTGACTCTCAAATTACAACCCTGGCCCTGACCTCAGTCGTGAGCCCCTGATGCATATATTCAACTTCCTACTTGACCTCTTACTTGGAGATTTAGACATTTCTCGATTAACATTTCAAAGTAAAGTTTTGCTCTCTCCACCCAATTTTCTTCTCCATTAGTCTTCTTCTCTTAGTGAAGAGAACCACTGAAATCTTATTAATGGTCTTTGATTCTTCTTTTTCCCACCTCCCCTGTATATGCTTCCCTGTGCACTTAGAGTAAAATCCAAGGTCCTTTCCATGCGCTAATCGAAGTGAGGGCCCCAGATCTATAACCATGTGTTCCTGGTCTACATCAAAATAAATACAATAAGGAGAAAAATTGAGAGTCAGCATTTGGAAACTATCATGGTGATATGGCATCGCCACAATGTTTAAGCACATGATCAATGGACTCATCTCACTGAACAAGAGTCTATTTAAGGGGTTGTCAGACTTGCATGGACATGACCTAGCAGCATAAGCTACAGACCAATCCCACTGGACTGCATGTTGGCCTGTGGCTGAAAAAAATTTTCTGATTATTTTTTAAGTTCTTCACCATGGATAGTTTGAGCAGAACTGGCATGTAAGGTCCTCCATGATCTGTGCCTTACCCACCTCTTTCTCCCTCTTGTTCTGCCATCACAGAGTACACCCATCACTCTAGTACCCAACCGTGTCACATTCATTTCCATGCTAGTCTTCTGTCATTCCCTCTGCCTGGAATGTTCTTCTTCAGAATCCTCCTTGTCACTCGGGGGTCAGCTCAAATGTTAGCTCCTGAGAGAGGTCGTTCCAGACCACTCACTCTGCTATGTCTACACCCAGCCACCTACTCTCCACCACATTGTGTTATTTTTCTTCAGAGCACTTATGACTGTCTAAAATTATCCTGCTTGTTGGTTTAGTTACTGAAAGTCTGTCTCTTCTATTCTGTCATAAATTTTAGGGGAGCAAGAAACAACCATGTTGCCTTTCCCAGTGCTAAGAACAGTATGAAGCAAAGAGAGGCTACGTGATAACAGTTGGTGAGAAAACAACCTCAGTTCATTTTTTTATGTTCATCAGAAGAGTCTCACCATTATAGGAAATGATTCTATAGAAATTAAGTGTTATTAATTTGGCTATATAAAATAAATTTAGACTACTAAATACCACTATTATGTTAAGGGTTCCTTAACACTACTAAAAGTGTTTGAAAATTACTGGTCCAATCCAACACTACACATTTGACCCCCACCACATTATCACCAACAACAAATTCCTTCCTATTTCTTATAAGATGTTAGCAGCGTCTGGTTAAGCACCTCTAATAAGGAGATTCCTTTAAGAAACAGTTCTAAAGGTTAGGAAATTCTTCCTTTTTAATAAGCATTTAATATTTAATATAATTTGAATATAATATAATTTGAATAATTTGAATTTAAATATAAATAGTGAAAATTTCCTTCACTGATGTTTCCAGCAAAAACCCTTGGAAACTTTCCCCACCACACCCAGAAAATGGGTATGCTCTATTTTCCACAGAATTTTCTTCCTTATCTTCCCTCTTCTTCAGACTAAATTTCCTCAGTACCTTTCATTTTTCCTTCATGTGAAGAAAATCTTAAATTCTTCCCTAATTTTAAATCCTCCCTTTAGCCTATACTGTCTTTTTCTGGAAAATTCAGTTTGCCATTTGACTCCATGATGCATGTTTCCTGTAAGTTAATTCAATATTCCTGATACAACCTAAGTAAAGATGACTGAAAAATTAGCTCATGAGCTTTGCCTGACAGCCACATCACTCATCACTTTTGTATCTGTTAGCTTAAGCTAAGTCAGGTAGCAATTAAGACCTCAAAATCTCATTGGCTTGTGAAACAGTGTCTCCCACCCATCAGCTCCGGTTACTCTCCACATTGCCTTCTCCCCAGGACTCAGGGTGAAGAAACATCTTTTCCTTACTCTCCCGACACTGCTCAACTTGTAATAAAGAAGTGAACAATGGGCCACTGCTTGAAACTAGTATACCTTGCTCATTTCTGCTCACATTCTATTGGCAAATGCAAATCTCATGGCCAAGACTGCGGCTCTCAAAGACAGGGGTTCTGTACAGAGAATCCATACAGGGAGGGTCAGCAAGTATTTTATTGCATGTTAAATCCACTTAAATCCCTCCTCTTCTTTCATAAAGCTTTCACAAAGCTTCATCAACGTCAAGTGCCTCTCCTATCTCTGTTCCCTATTTCTTTCCTCTGGACTTCCTTTGGGGTCTGTATTAGTTTGCTAGGGTGGCTATAACAAAATGGCACAATATATAGAAATCTACTTTTCACAGGTTTGAGGGCTGGATGTCTAAGCCCAAAGTGCCCATAGGGTTGGTTTCATCTGAAGCATCTCTCCTTGGCTTGCAAATGATTGTCCTTTTGCTGCCTCTCCTCATGATCTCTCCTTTGTGCACACGGGCCCTGATGCCTCCTCATGTGTCCAAATTTCCTCTTCTTGTAAGGACACCAGTCAGCTTGCCTTAGGTCCCTAACAGCCTTGTTTTAACTTCACCTCTTGAAATGCCCCCATGTCCATATGACAGTCACATTCTGTTGTACTGAGGATTAGGGTTTCAACATGTTAATTTTGAGGGAACATGATTCAGCCCATAACAGGCTCAAAGCATGAGTTTACTTTTGTCTCTATTAAGTTAGGATTACCTTTTGATATAGGAAGGTGCCAATAGGAAGGTGTGTCATGGGAAACCACCAGGTGGGACT